GGGAGAGATGGCAGGTCGGGGAGCTGTTGCCTGAGGAGTGGCCCCAGGACCAGAGAGATAGGACTGAAGGGAAGTATTTGACCTTCAGGCTTGATGGTTCCCATTCCTGCACTAGGTGAAGACAATTTTATTTTCCCAAGCTTCCAGCAGAAAATCTCTTTAACATTTCCTTTGCTACTTTATTGCTCCCTGCACTTTCTGCTCTTCTAATCCTTTCTTTGTGGTGTACATGATTGCATATATGAAAATAAGCAAGTGTCGAAAGACAGCTGTATCTAACACTGTTTAGTTAAACATTTCAGCTTCTCACTTTCTTATATAATTTTTTTCCTTAAATGTCCGTTGTTGGAATCCCTGAAATGTTCTCTAATGACTGAGGGGATACACACATTTTAAATACAATGAATTTATAAAATTGAATAAAACCTTGTGTGCAGGGAGGCTGCCTGGCCTGGGATTTTGAATACAGTGGTACCTCGGGTTACAGACGCTTTGGGTTACAGATGCTTCAGGTTACAGACTCCACTAACCCAGAAATAGTACCTCAGGTTAAGGACTTTGCTTCAGGATGAGAACAGAAATTGCACAGCGGCGGTGGGGTGGCAGCAGGAGGCCCCATTAGCTAAAGTGGTGCTTCAGGTTAAGAACAGTTTCAGGTTAAGAACAGACCTCCAGAACGAATTAAGTTCTTAACCCAAGGTACCACTGTACTTTAGAGAATATTTATTTTCCTGAATCATTATAGGCCGCTTCTCCATCCATCTGAGGTGCTTCACAAAGATTGCAGGGTGGTTTGCAATATAAAAACCCAAAAATACATTCCATGATAACAAACCAAAATAATACCCCCCCCAGCTTAAATGGCCACAGATTGTTTAATTGGCCAAAAGCCTAAATATAAGCATTTTTGCTAGGTGCCTAAATATGTGTAACTAAAGCAGCAGGCAAGCCTCCCTGGGAAAGCATTACACAAATGGGAAGCCACTGTGGAAATGGCCTGTTCTTGTGTTGCCACCCTGCAGACCTCTTGTGGAGAAGACACACAAAGAAGGGCCTCAAAGGATTCTAGGTCGGTTCACATGGCAAGAGGTGATCCTTGATGTATTGCAGTCCTGAGCCATTTAACACTTTATAGGTCAAAAGCAGCACTTTGAACTGGGCCAAGAAACTATTTGGCAGCCAGTGCAGTCAGGCCAGGATTGGCAACATATTTTCAAACCGTCTTGCCCCTGTGAGCAACCTGGCTGCTGTATTCTGCACCAGCTGCAGTTTCTGAACCATCTTCAGAGGCAGCCCCACACATAACCTAGGTCACCAGAACATAGACCACAGAAGTGAGGCTATTCGTGTCTAGACAGGGGCATAGTTGGGCCACCAGCCAAAGCTGATGGAAGGCACTTCATTCCACTGAAGCCGTCTGAGCCTCAAGCAACAGCAATGGATCCAAGAGTACCCCCCAAGCTATGTACCCATTCCTTCAGAGGGAGTATAACCCCATCAAGAACAGGCAACCTCCCATCCATCTGTGTCCAGGAGTGGTAAGAGAAGTTTGCTCTCACTGTGCTGGAACCTGCATTGCCTCCACTGCTCCAAGTACCCATATTTCCTTCTGTTAAGTTGGAGGATGTGTGAGAAGAAACCTCTGCCTACAGAAGGTGAGTTTCCACCAGGAGAAACATCCCAACCATCTAATGGACATGTCCTAGAGCAGGTATGTGGATGCTGTGCCACCCCACTGCCACCCAATGTTCTTGGACTACAACGTCCCTGGTCATGGACCATGCTGGCCAGGGTTGATGGGAGATGCAATCCAACAACATTCGGAGGGTGTAGCTTTCCTTTTCCTGTTTTAAAAAGCTGAACTGTATTTCCAGAAGAGATCCAAAGGGTATCTGGCAAAATCTCTACTGCAGGAACCTCAATACAAGCATTGTAAATATAGATTAGCCCATATAATGTGGATATAGCAATGATTGTGATGAAGGATTCTGGATGATTGGAAGAACATTTATCTTCCTAGGTTTAAAGTGTTATCATAGTGCTTTAAATGCATGGTATCAATGTGACCATAGTCTTGCATTGCACATCAATGAACCTCCAGTGGAAGCCAGCATGCTGTTCCCAGTTGTTTTTGGAGTCAAACTCCCATCAGCCCCAACCAGCATGGCCAATGATGAGGGATGATGGGATTTGTAGTTTGCAACATCTGGAGAGCACCTCATTGGCTACTCCTGACCTAACCAATTGACCCATTGACCACTGTAGCTCTCATTACTGACAGTTCTTATATCTGGAATGGGGGGCTTCCCCACAGGCCACCTGAGGTCCCCATATCTGCTATGACTGTAGGCCAAGCTATGACTTGAACAGGAGATCAATTCAAAGAGGGAGGGAGGAAAGGAATAAAGAAACTTCTCCCTGAATGACAGTTACAGATATTCTCTGAGCCCAGCGAGAGATTGCTTTACTCACACACCCCTTGTGAGAACATTAATATCGCTCTGTCAGCACGGAACTGAAATGTCCAATAAATCTCTATTTAAAGGCAAATTTGTAAACAATAAACTGCAGAAGCCGTAACAGTTTAATTCATATCGAACTCGCTGCATCAAACGTTATTTGCAGGGCGGCGCTGAGATGTCAACACGCTTTGTGAAAATCATCTTGCCGCTCCTTATGAGTTGGAGTTAGGAAGGATTAAGGGGCTGAGGGAACAAGATTTAAATCATATCAAACAGCTGAGGCCAGCAAACAAAGGGCCAGGCCATTCCTTTGGAAGCCACATGTTCCCATTTAGTGTTAAGCAATTAACTAATTAAAATCTCTAACCTACTTCCCTGCACTTGGGTGGGCGGTGATGATCAAACAATAATTTTAGAGTATATTAACAGTTTAACACAAGCTGCATGCAGGATCTTCTTGCTTATTCGTTTTATTAAAGGCACTCTCACCCAGCCTGGAGATTCAAGCCCACCACCTGCCACCTGGAGGGGGCCAGGCACACCTGGACTCAGACCTGAAGGTCTGGCAGCCTTAACTCAAGTCCACCTTGTGGGTTTCCCATAAGCATCTACTTTGTCACTGAGAAGAGGATGCTTTGGCTTGATTCAACAGGGCACCTCAATGGAGGTTCTGTCCTCCCTTACATGAGCTCACCAAGGCCCCCTATTTTTGGTGCCACAGGCCCCTGCTCTATGCTGTAGACCTGCTGACTGACCTGAGAATGTCTTTTCCCAGTGTCTTCCCCTCCCCAAAGCTGACTTGTGGCCCTTTGCTACCATCCATTATGACACGTTGTGGGGTGAGCTGCTAGGCTGCCCTTCTGTGCTTCTAGCCAGCTATTTTATTTGCTCTCAGTGTCTATCTCCTCATCATTTTCCTGGCCTGTCTAGTCCAGTAGCATTTAGTCAAGAGGTCACTAATATGGAATCATCTGGATATTAGGGACTCCAACTCCCATCAAGGATGGCTAGTGGTCAAAGATGATGGCAGTTGTAGTCCAACAGCATATGTAGGGCTCCAATTCAGTGCCACTGATATTACTCACCTAAGCACAACCCAATCCACCAGCTGAAGACCAATTCACGTCCCCAACCTTCCCCAACCAGATACCCTTGGACAACAACTCCCATCACCCCCAAACATTGCCCAGAATCATGGGGGCTGCTGGGAACTGGAGTCCAAAACATCAGAAGGGTCCCAGGTTGGTGGAAGCCTGCTCTGAAGTATAGTTGTGTATGCCATTGTGAACTACACATGTTATCTTTGTGAACATCTTAGGTCTGGTGTAACAAACACATTGGTAAATCCCAATGCTGGGGATGCCATTCAAGGGAGAAGGTAAGCACTGGTACCCAGTAGAAGCTATTTCAAATCCTTTTGGATGCATTTGGAAAACGTTTTAAAGAGCAACAAGGCATCAATAAAATTTAATTAATTGGGTCTTTGGATGCACATGTAAATTGAGTGTTAATTGTGCCAGCAATGCTTTTCCATTAAAAATTAAACTCATGATTAGCAATGGAGGGAGGGAAAACAGCAGCCACTGATGAATGAATGAAGCTCATTTTCTTTTATTTGGGCTCTTATTTTGGACAATGAAATAAGGCTTCTGTATATAAGGTTAAAAGTGAATATAATCAAAGATACATAATTTTAAGGCCTTGCGGTCAGGCCATTGACAGCTGATGGTATAAATTCTGATTGAGCTGCCCCATTCCTTGATTGCATATTGAAAGATCCTTTTTGCTTCTAATTAACATCAGACAAAGAATGTAGAATATATTTTAAAAAGGAACAGTAAGTCAGCAGAAACCTGATGTATTATGGTTGATAGTACCCAGCTAGGATATGAAATTTTGGATAAACTTTTCGCCTGCATATGACACTGAGTAGAATTTTAGTTCGTTGCATATTATCCTCATGCAGTCATAATCAGCATATCTAAAAGCTGTATTCTAGAGCTCTGGAAAATATGGCACCATACTCTTGCAATGCATAGTAGGGCTATGCAGATGAAGAAGTAGGACTTTGTGGATAGGGGCTGGTTTCTAGTAAGTTTTATGCAGCAATCTAGTAAACCATCAACAGGTGACAGAATTACTCCAGGCTTTGATGCACCAGTGAGTGAGGACCAAATTGCCCCAGGCTCTGGTATACCATTGGGAGGGTGCAGAATTGCCCCAGGCTTTGATATATCAACAGCAGGAGACAGGCTTGCCCCAAGCTTTGGTACACCAATGGGAGGGGAACAAATTGCCCCAGGCTCTGGTGCATCTCTAGGAGAAGACAGAATTGCCCTAGACTCTTGCAGAACATTAGGAAGGGACAAAAATTCTGCAACCTCAGTGGACTTTGATATGGGAGAAAGTAATCAATGGTTTATCTTCATTCTAATGGGGAAAGGTTATAAAGCATGACATCTAGGTTCAGTGCTGCAGTTGGCCTAGAAACTGTTCCTGAACAAAGCTTCCAGAGGCAAGGTGCAATGTGAGGATAGGGCTGTGGCTCAGTGGAAGAGCATTTGTTTTGCATGCAGAAGGTCCCAGGTTCAATCCCCAGCATCTCCAAGTAGGACTGTGTGAGAGAGCCCACCTGAAACACTGGAGATCTGCTGCCATTCAGTGTAGACACTATTGAGCAAGATGGACCAGGGGTCTGACTCAGCAGAAGGCAGCTTCCTAGGTTTCTTAAGTCTCTTGGAAAGAACATGGAGAGATCCTAGGTTTCTTAAGTCTCTTGGAAAGAACATGGAGAGATTCATTCACATTTTCCTGTGATCTCTTCACTGTACTGGGCTGCCTTCCCTAGTGTGGTGCCCTCCAGATGTTTTGGAGTGGAAACCCCACCATCCTTGGCCAGTGGGAGTTGGAGTCCATGACATCTATAGGGGATTGGTTGTAGGTGACTGGTATAGGGCTTTTCTCCATGCATGCACACACCACTTGGCATCATGGCGGGCAATCCACTGACATGATTTTACAGGGAAACGTATTACAGACTCCTTTCCATGCTATTTAGCAGCAAAAGAAATCACACCAAGCGTTGCAAACAAGCCTGGGGAAGATGCATGGATTCTTATCCATCTTATTGTAATTCAACGTAGGTCAGCTGCCCACATTCCCTGAGCCCTTTTTGTTTGGCCAGGCACTCCAGCAAAACCACTGCAACACCTAACAAAGCTGGACCCCTAAATTACAGGAAGGAAGTGGTTAAGTCATAATAGTTTTAAACTTATACTTAACCATATACTTTATTTATTGCAGCCATAACAGTGTCCTTCTCAGAAGCATATAGAACTATAAATTCTTTGCTCTAATTGATTTTATTTCTCGAAACAGGATCAGAGCTTAAATAAATCATAATTATTATTTATTTCTTGCCGTCAGCTTCAGTGTTGCAAAGGAAATGTGTCTCTGTGTGTGTACTTGGCCTAAACCCAACCACTTGGAAACGTGTGTACTGTATATCTACATATCCCTTACAAGTTAAACTGTGCACTTGTAAATGTTGGCTGAAGAACTTCTAGTCCCAGGCCTTTTAATTAAAATCTAGTGGGGGCTTCTGTTTCTGCACCAAGTTTCCCCTCTCTGTGTTTTACACTTATTTTACTTACTAGGGGGTTGGCATTTTTGGCATGAATTCTGTTTTGTAATTTATTGTTTATGTAAAATGCCCAGAGAACTTGGTTGGATGAGTGGCATACAGTGCTATTTTTCTAGGAAATGAGCTGCTGGAACTCACCATGAATGCCTCCCTCTTTCTCTTAAAATAGCAATGGCGCCCACCTGAGAGGTGCCGGAATTCACCTGTGAGGTTCTAGAACTGAGTTTTGGTGAGTTCCCCCTGAAAAAAAAAGCAACCCTTTTCAGGCTTTCTCTCTTTTTTAAAAAAGGTCAAGCACAATAAATGTGTGCGTGCCTGCATGTGTGCACACTCAAAAATTCTTGGGAACTGTTCTGGAATCACCTTTTATCAAAGAGCCATTGCAAACCCATACCCTCCAACATTTCCTTGATGAAAATAGGGACATCTCATTCCATAATGATAATCTTACTATTTAAACCCCACACATCTGACTGGGTTGCCCTAACCACGCTGGGCAGCTTCCAACATATATAAAACCATAAGAAAACATTAAACATTAAAAAAAACCCTTCCCTATACAGGATTGCCTTCAGGCAGCTCAGGGGTTGGATAACTCCATACCCTTCAACATTTATCCAATGAAAATAGGGACATCCTAAGGAAAAGTGAGACATTCCAGGATTAAATCAGAAACCGGGACGGCTTCTCAAAATCAGGGATGTCCCTGAAAAATAAGGATATTTGGATGGTCTCCAAATTTATGGGCCACACACTGCCTGCCACGCAGAGGCAGGGAACAAGGCCAAAATTTGATCACACCCCCTACCCCACCCCCGCAGCTTTTACGCTGCCTTCCCAAAGCTGGGTAAGGAAGGTGCTGGGCTTTGAGAAGGAGGCACAAGGCTGTAGCAGGGTCCTAGAACCCTCCCATCTCCTTCCCAAAGCTGGGAAATTGCTAACTAGGCTTTGAGAAGGAGGTGGAAGGACTCTAGGACCCTGTCAGAGCCCTCACGCCTCCTTCCCAAAGCCCAGCACCTCCCTTACCTAGCTTTGGGGAGGTATTGTAAAAGCTGCAGGGAGGGGACATCAAATGTTGCTGAGGTCCCTCCAAAAAAGATCTCAAGGGATGCATGTTGGACTGCCCTAATCCAGAGAGCCACAGGTTCCTCATCTCTTTCATGAGTTACAAACAAACTCAAAGTGCTTTCTCATCTTGTTCTTCCCCAGAATAAAGCTGCAATAATGTGACACAATTTCTCCTTTTTAACAGACTGAGACTCAATCTAAGGTGAAGCCAATATCTGGAGACTATCCAGTGGGTTTGGGTCAGAGGAGAAATCTGAAGCCTTTTTAAAAGTTGTTGATTCTAGCCTACAACACAGTTGGTTGTATTTATAGAAAAGTCCCCTTCCTCTTATGAGGGGATCTTCTACTGACTAAAGGACTCTTTTCATCAGAGGAAGACACTATCAAGAAGAATCTTATATCAGAGGAAGGGAGCCTTTGGATTCTGCCCATTGGCTCCTGGTAATAAATTACTGAGAACTCCAGTCCAACCAGCCATAGCTCAGCAGGTGAGCACTTGTTTTGGGTGCAGAATATCTTTAGGTAGGCTTACAAAATACTTCTAAAACCCCAGGGAGCTTCTGCCAGTCAGTGCAGATGAAAATGCTCTAGATGGACCAATATTCTGACTCCGTATAAGTCAGCCTCCTGTGTTCTTATGTTCTTACATTTTGATCACCAATTGGCTCAATCAACAGGATGGGGCTTCACTTTTTCAGTGTTCATATGTATTTATCAGGTGCGGTTTTTACACCTAGCATTTCCTCTCTCCCCCCTCCCCCCACTACCCCAGATCCCCTGTTCTCTTTTTGGCAATGATCAAAAAGAGAAGGTAATCCATTTTGCATGAAAACATGCTTTAACTGTATTTGTAACACTCAATAAATAAATTACAGGTTTTATATCATTCGCAAAGAACTGCGGTTATTAACTTCACACGCTTGGGAGAATGAATTAAATACCAGCCCCTGCAGAAAGCTTTCCACTGGAAGAATGCACCTCTCCCGTGAAATAAATAAAAGAAGTTTCTTCTGTTTCACCGTTATTACAAGGGGTAGGGACAGTTACTGGTGGAAGTGAGAGCAGATGGGTTTCTCTCCCTGACAGTTTACAGAATCTTATAAATTCCATAAAATGAAAATGAATTATGCATTATTGGGTTTTACATAAGGTCACCAGCTGACCCCTGACCCCTCTCTTTTTTTCTCATTTGGCTCAATTATTAGAGGAAATGACAGATTTGATCTCTTTTCAAATTGTATTAGAAAGGGCTTCTCTATTTTGCCCCCTAGCAGCAGAGCTCTGACAGAAGTAGCCAAGTGCATTAATTATGATTGATTTAGTGGGTCTATAAGGTGATTATTTCTAGAATTCTACTGCTGTGCCAAAAGCTTTTGACCCTCCCTCCCCTTCTCAGGCCACACAGCAGAATGAGATGGTAAGAAGATTTAAAAGTAGAGGAGTGACCATCGTGGCTGCTTCCCTCCTGTGTTTGCATTCAAAACACTTTTAAGACACTCGAGCAAATTCAAGGGATTGGATTACCAGGAATTTCTGCTGCTAAAATGTTTCACAACCTGACATTTTGTTTTTGGTGTGCTTTTTTTTTTAAAAAAAACCTAAACATTTGGAGATGTCACACACAGAGAACAGAACCAAACAAACAGCTCCAACAGGTACCAGTTTTGTTGATGGGAAAGCAATCCAAATTTCATCCAGTTCCTTCCTCTTCTACCCTTGGATATACAAATTTATATTCTCTCATTTTCTCATCCTCCCACCCCACAATCTTAAATTCAGTTTGCCCTACTGCTGCATATGTTTGCTGGTTATTATTTTTAAAAGTCTGCATGAAAATTCTTATTTTTATGCACATTTATTATTGTATGTGCCTTTGTCTGCACAATTTTGCCTGACGTGTGCAGTCTTGAAGTTTCTAATATCATGGTTTTTTTCTGTACATTGTTTTCGCTAATACACACTTTTGCATTCAATTTTCAGTAATGCACATCTTTCTTTCCCCACATACTTTGGTTGGAGAACTGCATCACATTCTTTGGAGAAGTGTGGATTTGGAAGGAGAACGATGTTTCATATCGGATCCAGAAATACAAATCCAGAAGATAATCCAGAAGTTCGCATTAAATTGTGTACTCACTGTGTCCCCACCCCCAAAATCTTTATTCCATCCCCCAATGAATTAACAACTTTGAAAATTAGGCCTATTAAACATTTTTCAGGGTGAGGTACCTGTTATGGAGTGGGGGGGGGAGAGAATGAATGGGTGGGAATTAGGGGGTTGGAGACCCCATTCTTTTCCCTTCACAGCATGTTAAAAATGACAGTACTAATTAATGAAAGGAGAGGGAAAGGGACCACAGGCAGCTTTGATGTATAGGCCTGAATTCTAATGAGCTACTGATAGATGTGAATTCTGCTTTTTCAAAAATCTACTCCACATTGTTTGTAAAAGAGCGGGGGCAGATATCTCAGAGTACATTGAGGATTTGGGTCTCAAGATGGGAATGAAAGCCATTTAGGGTTGGGGCATATGACTGGGACTGGTCCTACCGTTAGGCAATGGGACTCAGCCATCTCTGGCAGCAGACTCCGGTAAGCAGAGGCAGCAGGGTCTTTCACATTTCAGCAGCACCCTGTCTGAGGCCAAAGTCTGGTGTGCACCCTGCCTCTTACCTTCAGTTCTGCTCAATTCATGACATCATAGTCGCCAGGCCCTGCAGTGCCCCCTAGGCTTGGTGTCTAGCGCAGCGGAACCAGTTGCACTGCCTTATGCCTCTGAGGACAGGAGTGTTTGTGCAGTATGACCTCTGCCCTGTAACTGAACCCACAGGACACTGTGCCATCCATGATGTTGACATCTGGCTGGCTTCTGTATGGGATGGAGGGGGTGCCATCTTGTTCTATACCTCAGGTGGAAAAATGCCTTGCACCAGCCCTGCAAGTAACAGTGGATATTTCTAGCTCAACACTAGAAATACTAATTGCCCGAAGGAAGAAAAGAACTCTGTAAGCCTAGAATTACAAGACCTGAAGAAGAGGCTAATGAGTATAAAGACTGAGATTTCTACCCAAAATATAAGGACAGTAGAGCCTAGAGCACAATATTTAAAGACGTCCAACAGCTCTTTATCCCATAGAAAGACATCAGTGCAACTCCCTGTTCCCTTTTCAAATGACACCAAATTAGATGAGGAATTTGGCACCTCCGACATTTCTGTGGCAACAACACCTAAAGAACTCTATGTTGCTGACAATCTGGAGATATCCAGCACCAAATCTACATCTGGACCTTTGCCTAATGTTCCAAAAACTTATCAGAATGATCAGCCTTCTCTACTGTACTCCTGGCGAGACAGGATGGACAGATCTTCCGAATTCGAATCTGGCTCTTTGTTGGCCAGTGATCCACATTTTATAACACATACCTCATTAATACTTCCACAGCCACAGATAGAACCAACAATCCTCCAATTAACCCAGGAGGTAGAGGGGGATTGGCAGTTAATGAAACACCATGGGACTGTCCCCCCCGCTTGGGGTGCGGTTGGTTGGGTTTTATCTTCTAGGGATACTTACCCTATCAGACCTCCACCTCTTTCCCATACCATTTTGACCCAGGAGACCTGGCCCAAGGATGACTTGTTATTGAGGGGATGTTACCCATCTATTGGGGAGGCTAGTATGGGATCTGGGATTTCCACAATTGAAGGGCTAGGGAGGAATGGCGGTGGGGCTAGATATCTCTATCGGCGAAGGGTTTTGAGATGCAGTGATCCTCGAACCCCTTCCAATCTACGCCCCATCCCAAGGGATGACGGTAGGGAGAGCAAGGATTACACACCTCCGTCATTGGTGCTGTGCAATGCCAGGTCCATAGGCAACAAAACCGCCACCATGCGTGACTTTTTTGTCTCGCAGGGGATTGACCTGGCTTGCGTGACGGAGACCTGGGTACGGGAAGGCGAAGTAGTCTCCCTACATGAGATAACACCCCCAGGTTTCTCTGTCCTCCATCAATCGCGGACTGTGGGTCGGGGGGGAGGAGTAGCGTTGTTATTCCGGGAAGATTGCTCTTTCAGAGCTTTGCCATCACCGGCGATCTCCGGCATTGAATGTGTTGGTCTCGTGTGGGGCACCAAGGAGAGCTTGGCTGTCTGGCTGGTGTACCGACCACCCAGCACACCTGCAGCCACCCTGTCAGACCTGCTGGAGGTGGTGGCGGGCTGGGCCTTGGAGTTCCCAAACCTATTGGTTTTGGGAGACTTCAACGTCCATGCCAATGCCGCTCCCTCCTCACAGGCTTTGGACCTAGTGACTTCCATGGCAACACTAGGGCTCTCCCAGTTTGTTTTGGGCCCCACTCATCAAGCAGGCCACACGCTGGATCTGATCTTTGGGGCTGGCATAGATGTGATCATGCTCCCCGCTGTGGAAGTGCCATGGTCTGATCACTACGCTCTGAAAGCCAAGATTGACTTCCCGCTCCTCCCCGGCTCGGGTGGCGAACCTATTTGGGCTCGTCCGCGAAAACTGATGAAGCCTTGCGGAACCCTGCTCCTCCTGGCGACTCATTAGATGACCTTGTTGAGGACTGGAGTAACCGGCTCTTGGCAGCCATTGATGAGATCGCACCTAAGCGCCCTCTGCGACCCCGTCGAAACCGGGCCCCTTGGTTTACTGAGGAGCTCCGGAAAATGAAGCGGGATCTCAGACGGCTAGAGCGAGTATGGCAACGGACTCGTGACGGAGCCTCAAGAACATCTTATAGGACGCTTATGAAAGCCTATGAGATGGCTATGAAAGCTGCTAAGAAATCTTACTTTGCAGCTTCCATTGCATCCGCTGCTCCTTAGGAGGACAACCAAATTTAAGCACAAATTCAACCCACAGCTGTGAGGCATTCGTGAGCTTTT